GCTTTGCTCAGAGTTTCCAAGGGACTCACCGTGTTTTTTCAAGAAGCCTTGGAATCAAAGCAGCTCCTTGATTGTTTCTTCTCCTTCTTTACCGACCCTTGACGTACCATCGCTCGCAGGCCATGCCTACACCATCCTGCGGTTCTTGGACGTGGAAGTCACACGCAATGGCAAGAAAGAGACGCTGCTACTGATGCACGTGCGCAACCCTCATGCCACCAACGAGCTTCGGCGCGCAAGAAACGCTACGCTGAGCCCCAAAACCATGTGCACCAGCTGGGAGGGGTCAACATCGAAGGCGAGAGAGGATGGTTGGCTGCGGTTTTGCAGGATCGGGTTATTTCCAAATGGTGCCGAGGGGTGAGGTCCGATCTTCTGGGAAAATCTATGGATTTTTAAAGAAAATCCAAGTTGTGGTGTTTTCCGGTGTTGTCTGGTGTTTTAAGAAAATCTATTCTATGGTGCTTTCTGGCTCCTTAAGACAATCCAAGTGGTGGACTATAGTTGACTCATGCCGCCTTCAGCCCCTGAAGCGCGGTATTTTTCAGACACAAACATTGTCGGGGAGAAGATGGTCGATGTATGTGTATGGTCGATGTATATATGGAACCAAGAAGGGGAACGACTCTGGCGCATTCGCGTCCTACAATGACGTGTTCGATCTTGGTTGATGGGATGTGCAATAACTGCATTGCGTGTTTAGAAGGCAGTCTTTGGCAGTTACAAGTTACAAGTGTCATCTATTGCTCGTTTCTTTAGTCATGTTCATTTACAGGAGAATGCTGGTGCTTGTTTGGCAATAAGACTTGGGAAATCATATGGAATAAAACATCCCTATAGCCTATATTCTTGAATGGTCCAATTTGAGTCATCAACATCGACATTCTTTCTATTTCCGTTGAGCCACAGGTACGCAGAAAAAACACGTTTGGGGCAGTCTTGGGTCCTTTTCAGTGGGGGCCTGAGGAGTGGAAGGGCAAGTGGCGTGACGATGATAAGGAGATGCTTGGAGAGCGACAGTGTCGGGGTGGATGAGCACGTCGGCCTTTCGTGAGGCTTCGCACCGATCGCGCGAGATCGCGCGGCCTCTCGGGCGCCGACTCTTCAGTGACTCCGGGGATCTGAGATGAAAAGGGGAACCATTACTGTCCCCACGAGGTCAGGGAGTGGTTGGACGGGTCTCAACATATACAGTACACACACACACATCCGCCATCTCACTATGTCACTATCTATACTGTATACATGTTCCCTCAGTTTTCAGATGCTATGCTCTTATCAGGGTGGGGCAGGGTGGTGGCTAATGATGTTGTGGCTGTTGATGTGGAACCCTCCTGCTACGTAATTGGCTGGGCTTCGACCACTTGGCATGGATGCATCATGTTGCTCACATAATCATCCAATTCAGTCAGTGGATCACCTTTCACCTTTTGGTGGGGTTTCCGGGCTAACCACCAAACACGGTGGGAAAAGGTTAGCCACTGAAGGAGTCGAGTTTAACACCACCACTGAAGGTCAACACCTGCTTCACGTTTTCCAGGGAAACTGAAGCAGGTCGAGTCATTCATGTTCCGCATCACCGGCATAGGCTCCAATTCCCTTGTCCCCGCCTGTGGACTCCTAGGCCTAGGCCCTAGGCCCCTAAGGCTTGGACCGCCACGAATCGTCGGATTCCATGGGGCGATGGAAGGTGGCGGTCATGGGACTGGGAGAGGCCAAAGACCCTGCGGGCCATATGAGCTCCCGAGTAGTCTCTATTCTATTCTCTTCATGTCATTTTCGTCCACTCATTCGGTTCCTGGGTGAATGGAGCTAGTAGGTCACCCCATTTTTTGACTGTTTCACCCCCGGTCCGGCCGGGTGATCCGTCCACTAAGGACCTGGAATGCCTATCCTGAGGCGAGCAGGAAACGACTTCGATCCGATCAAACCGAAATCCCGCTCCCGCTCCGGAACGGCTGGGTGTTTCTCCGGCAGTTCGAGAACCCAAGAAGATGGGTAAGATTAGAGTAATTTATACCAGCACCCTGTTCGGGCCAGGCTGTTAGTTGAGGGTTGAGACGGACCCTGTCTCAGGTCGAACCATTGGTGACCTGTCGGAGGGTGCTGGTATATTGTTTCTACTAGCTTCTTGTTCCTAGTAAGGCCCTTGCTCCGTTCGTAGCGATGCCAGGAGCCCCGTTCGTAGCGTCCTTGTTCTTACCCATGGGTAAGCAAGGGGATCACAGATGTTGATCCCGCTTTTGGACTCCTGAGATAGGGGGTTCTCAAGGGGTAAGAAGATGGGTAAGACAGCTGCGAGTCATGTCTATGTTGCTGAGATGTGAAGCATTGAGACAACATGGTGCATGAACTGGAGCTTGCAAGAGGCAAGTCGCTTTCGCTTTCTGCTTCTGGTGGTAAATCTTTCAGCTCCACTTGTGGGGCCCCGGGGCCCCGGCCAGACCTTTCACTCTTCGGTCATGGGGCTCCTCAGCTTGGAGCGATCAAACGCCTTCCTCCGGCCCGAACACTCACTGCACACCGAAACGGTTCTCCGGCACCACGGTGCCTGCATCGCATTCTGCCCAAGCTCCCGTGCTCCTCGAGTGAGCGGAGTGAGGCGTTGAAGGCCACGGGGCACAAGATCGGAGTGAAGGACAATGGGGTCTTCTGGATGGACTTCGAGGAGCGAACAGCGGGTGTTTGAGGTGTGTGTTTGTGGCTCCCCCTCTAGGGCTTATAGGAAACCTAGAAGTAGAAGAGTCTGGGTGTGAGTCCACTTGATCATATCATAATATCATATGAGTTTTTGAGTTTTATTAAGCTTGATATTGTTTGATCATGTTTGGGGCTTTATCTTCAGATTCAATAGATGTTTGTTCGTATTTTTTTCAATCTGTCCCTGTTTGACCGCCCCTTTGCTACGTCTTCGGCCGCGTACAGTGCACGCGCGCAGACAACGAAGAGACCCCAGTCGTCGTCCGGTTTTTGTTCCGTGGCGAGCGGCGTTTCGGAGGACTTCAAGCACGGCTTCTCGGAGATCGCCGTTTGCTTCGACAAGAGGGACCCCGGAAGGCCGTTCGAAGCGTTTGGGGGGCTCACTGTGGCCCACGGTGGGACGGGAGAGGTTTAGGTGGGAATGGTACGTTTCTTTTTGGGGGGAGTTCAGTGGGCGGGGGGGTCGATCTGGAAGTTTGGAAGGCTTTTGGATGCTTTTGGGTTACATGACCTGAAGATACCTGGTAGATTCCCGTGTCTGAGCCTTGTCCCTGTTTTCAATCTATTTGCTATGAGGTGAGCAGTACTCAGTACTGCCCTCCAAGCTAAGCTAGATATACCATGACATACCTGTAGACACTGGGTAGAACACCAAAAAGAAATACTCTCCCCAAATCAATGCTTTTCCCAACTATATAGATATACCTATATAGATACCTAGGCATACCTGTCCCCAACTCCACCTCAAGAGGCGTTACAAGGACACCAGCGCAGCGGCCGAGAAGGAGCATGGTGGTGACTTGGATGGGATAGGAATGGGGCAGCCGGGGCATGTTGACTTACCAACGGTTGGTTAGGCTGGGATAAGGCGAAGGACGCAGGGACTTTATATATATATATACACCCTATAGGGATCTAGTCGTACCGAACCTCAGAAGGTACCACTGGACCTGACAATGGCACCTACATAACAGTTTGGAAAACAGAGAAGGTACTCGGATCCATGGATATGTCGGATATATCGTTTTTTTCTCCCAGGAAACTCACATGTGATGGGACTGTCTCATGCCGTGCCCTGTTTGAAAAGTGGCTCACCCGCAGTATGTCTCCAAGCTTTTTGACTCGCACGCGAACATCACCGAACATCGACCTGCTGATGCTTTTTTTGGGGTGGGATAGAAAACACGACGAACATGCGTCGCCCACACGCTGGCGTGGTTGCCTTACTTCATTGTCTGAGGCATCAACATGGGTCCCACAGGGCATCAGTCATGGGAAGGTTTGCGCTGAGAAGCCATTCAATCGTAAGCAAGATGCCAGGGGCGGAGGCCAAGATGCCAGGATTATCATCAGGATGAGGTGTGAGATGTGAGTGATAATGTGATACCATGTGATACCAATATTGTTTTCTCCCTTGAGAGTCGTCCGCCCCCACACAAACTAACGTTAAACATGTTACATATATTAAAACAGATGCTTTTATATTCAGTGTTGAGAAGTGGTTGTTGGGCATGGGTTTCTTTGTGATGAGTTTCCTGGGTATCTCATCAGAAGAAGAGCAATTCTTCGCACCTGGCATGAGCAACAGACCGTTGAGCGGTCCGTCCTGGTAGAAACATCAGAGAGGCCGGTGGGGCAAAGGCTGTTCTCGGCCTCTCCTGGTGTGCTGTTTTGGCCAATGAATGGCTTGCAGATGGTGTCAGAGCATCTCTGCGTGTACAGAAGCGGGGTCCCTTTTCCCTCGATGTAATTCCCTCCTGGTGGATGAGAGGCTTTCTCATGTGTTGAGCAACTGCCGCCAATCTGAACTTTGGTTGAAGAAGAAAACCTGCAGGGCCCGAACCTGCCAGGGGTCAGTGCTGTTTGCACAATGAGGTGACCACATAGAATCAGATAGAACCCTCCAGGCCTCGTTGATTCGTTGCGCGGTTGATGGCCTGAAACGGCCATGCCGCCACCTGGAACCGTCACAGCGAAAAGATGCGAAAAGCGGCTCACCGTTCAGCGAAGTCAGGCGATGTGAACTTAGTGGGGACATGTGGAAACACTATGTCACTATAGTATAGGTTCGGCGAAGAGCTCACAAGAACACCAGCAACAACCACAAAACAGAGTCTTTAGCTGCCCACTTCCCCACATCCGATGGTCCCGCTTCCCAACCACGACCACGCGCACCCGTGGAAGACTTGCGACGGTGTTCGGTCTCCCGTATACGGCTGCCCCACTTGCCCGGTGCTGCCCGCGGTTCCGCGGTTCCCCCAGGTCTCGGAGAGTGACGTCACGTCTCGCGGACCGGGCAGGAAGAGTGCGACGTTTTGCTGCTGGTCTTGTCCAAGTACACGGAGCCCATCAGTTTGTCAGACTTCCGTGCGGTGATGCTCGCCACGCTGAGGCGAACCGGGGGTGTCGTCGAAGAAGGGGCGAGCCACGGCGCGATGGAGTCCCGCGAGACCCCGAGAATCCGGAGGCTCCAAACAGCCTGCCTAGAATCCAGACTCCCTGGCCTGAGAGCTTAGCCTGGCTGGTTCCGGTCGCCGCACCACGAGCACCACGAGGTCCTTGGCGCCCAAAGATTGGGACACCGAGCACGAGGTGGCTTGGAACTGGCTTTGGGAGAATATTGAGCGCGTCCTGAAGGCAGGGCGCGGCCTGGCCTGTGGGGTGACTGGTTTCTTCTGCGGGGGCACCAGCGCCTTTCTAGGTTGGTAGAAAGAGATATAACGATGGCTGTTGTGACCGCTGTAATCAACACTCTTGGATACTTTTAAGGAGTCCCTTGAGGACCGAGCTTTTCCACTTGCGAGCGGGATGCAGGATACCTGATTTTGGAGGGAGGTCTCAGGCGCTCCCAGGTCTAACTTGGAGGTGCCCCAGCACTCACATCTCCACAATCATATGTCTTTCAATCAACAATCTACATGAATCTACATGCTCCATTCATCACTTTTTCATACGTTTTTGATGAATCACACTTCACTATAACTATTAATATGGCATTATATGGCCAATATCTTGAGCCATCATCCACTGGGTTACACGGTCGCAACACGTCAGACATCGAAGCGGCGACAGCTTGACATCGGCGCCGTCCAGACTGAGCCCGTCACGCCAGGGGCAGCTGGGAAAGCCCAAGGCACTGGAGCGTGCGCTGACGCACTTCATTGCCAGCTGGTCCGAGGACCAGGCCATGTTCTTCCGCAAGGCCCGGACGTTCAGCGTTCCACCGGGTGGTGCAGGAAGCAGTGGGCGGTAGTGGGCTTGAATCTCGGCCACTCCACTCCTTCGGTCTCAGGTGCCCCTCCTTCGTCCTGCACTTGGCAGGTGGTAAGAGTTTCTAGTTAATTAGTAATTGGAACATGTCCGTATATTTGGGGTTTGAACCTTGGGATCACCAAAGCCTCATGTGGCATTGGCTGTTGTCTACATCTGAACATCCGAGGCGCTCTCAGCCGTTCGCGGTTGCATTCATGAAGTGTTCAGCGGTTTGGTTGTTTGACCCAACCTTGACTGAAAATTCATTGTGACACGGCACCAAATCCATCAAATTTGTCACGTGCTTTAGGAGTTGTCACAGGGAACACGTGCACCCACATTGTGATAGAACTTGGGACAGTCCAAAGATGGAATTATCATTCCTGCTGGCGTTCCAATTGCATCATATTCCATCTACTTGTGACGGTGACATACAGTGATCCGTGTAACATACAGTGGCAGCTGACTTGTGTTCCTGGGCATTGGCAGATCTTGTTTTGTCTGCTCTCCACCGGCAGCGATTCGGACGTTCTCGCCAGGAGCTGTATAAGCGATTCTTTGCGTTCTCGCCATCGGGCCAAGACTTCTTCAAGCAATCTTCCACGCGCCTGCATCTCGCCGATGACACAAACACCAATCAACATGTGCGGGTTGTTTATTTGCCCTAAGTAGCTTCTTGTTACTAGTAGTAATAGGGAGACGCATGGGGGAACAATGACAATGCCTATAGATTCTTTGCATATCAATTCCCTAGTTCAGAGGACCATTCCAAGGTGCTTCGAGCAGTGTCGACTAACCTTACTTTCCAGGGATGAGACTTGGTCCATTGAAGCAGGAAAGGCGGGCCTTCCAAGCAGCCAAGGCAGAAAAGGCTACATGCTGCCAAGAACCATGTTGATTTGTCCTGAAATGGGGTGAAGCACCTGCATGATCCTGCATGAAGATATGGCTCAAACATGCCCAAACCTTCATTGAGATGCCTGCATGGCAAGGTATTTCCTGGCAGACCGCGTGGTTGAGATGACTGTCGAGATGTTCCGTGAGCCCAGAAAAATGGTGCAAGAGATCAGTGGCCTGGGTCTACGTCATGCCCTTTGGTCCAACATGGCATTCCTTTGTGAAGTGGCGCTTTGGACCCCTCAAAGCTCAGTGTTTTCACCGAAGAAGGCTGGATATCCGATCTCCAAGTACCTTTGCAGCTACATTTGAGGTCCCTCCTCAGCCCATCCAAAACACTCTGCACCTCACCGGAGAGAAACAAAAAACACACTCAGCTGATGTGAGCCCCCCCCGTCGACGGGCTCACCTGACCGGTTGGGCGAGGTCGGCTGGGGCATCCCACCGGAGCTCTTTGGGCCCTACACCTCCGGCGCGGTGGAATCCGTGCGGTGCATGTGCCTTGGAAGCGAGGTGTTGAGGGCGGAAGAACAGTGATGGCGTGGGAAAAGGCAGAAGTCAAGACCTTGGAGGATGAACATGCTGCTATATATATATATATTATAATATAGATAAAATATAGATAGCCACGTCATAGATCGGTCTTCAGCTATGTTAATTTAGTTGTGCTTACATGAGTTCTTCGTTGGCCGACTTCCTTCCTTCCTCCCTTCCTCCCTTCCTTCGTGGTCCATGAACGGGGGGTGTTTGGGCGCCCTCGTCCCGTCTTGAGGACCACGGATGAGAACACACAGGCGGCCTTTCGCTTCTCCCTGTCCCTGATCGCCAAGATCCTGGCTCCTTGGAGCGCGGGGCGGGTGCAGCGGCGGTCCAGTCCACTCGGGGGGGTTCGGAAGTCGGTGACCACGTCACGAAGGCGCCGGGGACCTCCCGAGGTTGGGCTTTCGGTCATGATCCGAACGGAGGGCAGAGATGTGAAGCCCAAGACGAACAGGTATGTCCAAGTCGGGGGCGACCCGAGGAGAGCCGAGGCGTCGGCATTGGATTGAAGACTCCCTGAAATAACAATGAACAGGTCTAAACATTAGCATGAAATCATCTTGGAATAGGACAATTGCCCCTTAAATGACCATGTCCAGTTCCACGACCATTCCGGGGAGTCTACACTTTGACTCAGTGATTACCTGAATGGCATGGTCCCGAAAGGAAACGACCTTCCTTTACACAAAACAGGGGGATGCCCCCCATCTCCATGGTCACCTCAGAGTAGCCCTCCCTCCATCGGAAGCTGACCAGGGCCACCCCCCGTCTTGCAAGAGGCTCCAGGCGCTCCAAAAGGGAACCTGACGAGACCTCTCCCACGAGTCTAGGAGTCTTGGTCCGGAACCTGCCGATGTGGTCCATCCACGATCAAAAGATCAGAAACGAGTCCCGTCCTTTTGACCGTCATCCTATCGCCCAGACACTCCATCTGACTGGCATATACGCCTACCCCTGAAACTACCCCAATGTAGGCAAATATGGCAGTCCCATGGGTCGTGTCTGGGTAAAGATGCATTTGTTTCATCTTGGACTCCCAGGGCGTCAATCGATGTCAATGCTGCTCATGAGTTTACAGCCTTCAGCTTCACAGCCAGCTTGGGCGACCTGGACACCCAGTGTTCGCAGAAAAAGAACCCGTGGTACTTGGGACTCAAAGCAAACTGCCCCTGACCCTTTTGATCTTCCTGCTATAGTTCTGTATTGAGATGTTTCATCCCCGATTCTTCGGTGACGTCGCCGCTCCCCGCGGATGGAGAATGCACACCATCCATCCGACGGAACGACCCGGTTGCCTCAGCTGGTCCCCCAGACCTTCAAAAAGCCCGGCCCTGGGTCGTTTCTTCGTCCCAGGTGCGAGCGGTCACTGAAGGAGGTACTTTGGTCATGAGGGCCATCAACACCAACCAGGCAACGGTTGGAAGCGGTTGAGCCACTTCTGGTTCGTGGATTGAGATGTTGGCAACGCGGAGGCGTGCGAATTTGATAGACCTCAAAGAAATCCGCAGCGGCATGAGTATGGGCAAGGGTTCGTACGGAAGGTTCATGATTCATTTGGTTCATGAGATGTTCAGGTTCTACTCTGTGGCTGCGACATGCTGCGACAGTCAAAGACCTCCAACTCCAAAGTTTGCAGGTGATTCATGTCATTAGGTCGTTGTTTTCGACTTGAGTTTGCTCGAACCCCCCAGATGAAGTGGCGCTACAATCCAAATGGGTTATATATATATATATTATATATAGAATGATTCTTGTTCTTATCTATTACGTCCCCTATTACTCACCATTCGGATCCATTCGGTGCGATGGCATGGGTCACCATGGGCCATGGGTCGTTCTCACGCTCTAGGCTCGCACCAAAAAAGGTCGGGGTTTTGGGCGGTTGGAAGTGCGTTTTTTGGTACAGTTTTGGGATGTTTCGCTTTTATTCGTTTTTTTAGTGCAGCATATCCCGTGGTGTTTTGAATCCACCAAGCCAAGTCGTACCTTGATCCTGGCGACCCCCAGGAGCTGGCCCTGAAGAAAGCCATTGCCATCGCCCCACGCGGCAAGCGTGCGATGGAATTGCTGAACATCTCTGTGGGTCGGGGGGCCCCGGAAGCGGCCAACCGGCGAGCGGGGATGCGACTTCAGCGATCCTTTTGGCCTAACAAGGGCGGGAGCCTGGCGGCCTCTTCCAACAGCTGGTTGTGAGAATTACTTCCCAATTGCAATCCTTTCACAGAGATCAATTACTCTACTTGGACCAGGTGCTGTTCACACATCCTACTGCTATAGCGCCCAGGGGTTGAAAAGACGATTTGATACCCGCCAATGGCTCCCAATCAACCAATGGCTTCTCCCCGCAAGAAGTAGGAACAAATGGTGCATGGCGGCCCCAGGTACTCAGTCCATCTCGCCCTTGTTCTGGTCCATCGAGAGTGGATCCCTCAACAGTGCTCGAGCCATGATCGTGGACTTGCTCACCATTCGTGCAGACCGGGACGTCTACTACTACGGTTGCGTCCCTCGGCAATCAGGGGTTTCTCAAGCACTGCAGGCTCCTGAAATGACTGGTGCTGTGGTGACTGGCGGATGTCTCACAAGCCATAGTTTCGCTTTTTGTTGCCCAGCAGGCGGGCTATATATATATATACATATACATGTATAGTAGTAAGCTACTGTAATTTCACGATATGAACAGCCACCACTTGCAAGTCTGATGGGCTCAATGCGGTGAGTTTGCTAAGAGCTCCGTACACCCTCTGCACCCGAAAATGATAAACATGGAACCTGATGGAATGGACCTTTTCAGGTTGCATGTGGGTCTCTTCCAGGGTGTCTATATATATATATATACACAGACAGAGAGAGATTGTGGATGACTATGATGAAATGAGGTGTACACATTTTCTTGGCCATTTGGTGTTGTCCTTCGGGATCGAGAGCTGCAGGATGCGATGTTCACGCGACATCCTGATCTCATCCTTCGCCTGTGCAATGACGCTTCCACCCTTTTGTGGACCTTGTTCGATGGCTTGGTATGGAGGCTTGGTCCAGTCATCCTGCGAATGTGGGTGGAACTGGAAGCAACTGCTTCAATGGGGCTTTTGCAGGTTGAATAGGTTGTGACTTCCCCCATTCCGGCCACTTTGAGTGCCCAAATAGCCGTGAGTGAGTTGCATGAACTTCAAGTCCATGCCCTGAAGCCTTCAGAATGTGCTTGGAAAAGCCATAGCAAAAGGAGTTGCGCTAGATTCGCCACAGCTGAAGACAGTCCAAATATCCTTTGCACGACATGCCCTGATGGGTTTCGCTGCTCGCCGACATCGATGCTGATAGGTCCAGACTGGTGCAAGATGGCCAAAGACGGGTGAACTACTACATCAAGCCCAGGGCTTAGCCAAAAGGTATAGCATAGCCAAGTCAGACTTGCCGTAAATGATCATCCCAGCAGAGGTCTCAGCACTGCCAGCAGCTGTGGTCAATCTTTAGAGTAGCACCCAATTTTCCCTAACAAAGGCCAGCAGAGGTAAAGAAACCCATCTTCTTCTGCAAAATTCTGGAATGCATTGCAGCTGTGAAAGTCGCCGGAATAGTGAGACACTGCACCGTCTGAGACACCGCAGCGAACGCTTTTCGGTTCCGCGGGCTCCGCGAAACGCAGCGTGACCGAGGCATTTGGTGCAAGACTTGGAAGGAAATCTGAGTCCTGCACTGAAGTGGCTGGCGCATCACAAGGTGGGCAGGAATTAGATGGAATTAATGTGAGTTCCAAATATTACCAGCTGGTCGCGGTGACATGTCTTTTATGCCTGGATTAGACGTTCTTGAGAACGCCATAATTAAACAATATCATCAAGATCTTAGCCTTATTTGCCAGTAGAATTCATGGACAAAGATGGAACACGTCTCAATCATTTCGAGTGGTTGTCCAACCTCCAAATTTCCACAGATTCGGTTGATATGCATGTCTTCTCCATCAAAAGCCTGGTAGGATGCTGTGAGATTCTCCGTCAAATTTGGTTTCTTAAGTTTGTCGCCCTCCCGAAACACATCGAAAAAAAAAAAAACACTGCTTTTCTACAGGAAGCCCATGTCCATCCATGATGCGGGCGTTGGCAGGATCCTCGGCTGGTGAGCCATGGTGTTGTGATGACCTTTGCAGATTTGCTGTGGAACCGCGTGGCCTCATACCAGTTCTTGCTGGGGCGAGGCGAGCTTCTCGTGTGGGCGCGGAGGACTGAGTCGATGCATTTTCGTTTGGGTGGACGGGGTGTGGCCGCTGAACATGGATTGGATCTACCGACGTCTAAGCCCTTTAAAAGAAAGAAGCTGTGTGTGTGTGGCACTGGGCGTTGGTCTTTGCATGCTTGGACTGGAGAAGACCGTGCATTTCCTTGTCAGGCTATTTCCTGTTTACATTGCTGATCTTTATCACCAGCCAGTCCCTCTTGGTTCCTGGCGCCACTCGGTATGGATCTTCGCACCCGCTAGCAGTGCCCAGCAGCCCAGCGATCCCTTCTCGAAGTGACCGTGACCATGAGTCCAGACCCTTGTTGACAGAGCTCACGGCACCTGGCACCTGTTCATAAACTGACCTGCCTGTTCAAACTGCCATCAGTTTCCTGGAAGAGACTCGTAAAAACCTGAAAACAGTCCCATTTTCGGTCAGTCCCTCTCTGGCCTGAGGAGGAGGCCCTTTGGCGGAACATCACCACTTTTGTGTGTCGATGCTTTCTATACTTGGGCCTCTTGGATTGCATTTTGTGCCACCTCGGCCGACCCCGCCGCCCTCGCATCGCGCGGTGTGAGTCGAAAAACACTCTTCGGACCGGCACGGGTGGAGTCGAGCCGTTCTCGAACCCGAGGAAGCATGAGCAAGCTGTTGTTCGACCAGTGTAAGCTTTCGTGCAGCGCCTTCAAGGCGCGGAGGACGAGACCGGGTCGGCGAGACCCCTCCGCGAGACCTCATGGATCGGAGGGGAGAGAACGCGGCCATGAGGTGAGAATGGTGGGCGTCTGTGCAGGGTGAAGAAGGAGGAACATGGGCACCATGAACCACACAGAAAGGTTCTGATACTTGCAGTAAATTGATGTAAATCGGGGGCCAGTATGACCAGCGACTATCGGACATCCCTGAAGTGACCCATTCCCTGCGTCCGCGGTCTTGGTCCACATTTCTCCTAAAGAACTTACCTCATATGGGTTTTTAAAAAACCATAGACCATATAAACATCTTCATTATGGGCCGTCACATGAGTCAAGAGTTTCATGAGTCTTCCTACCATTTCGTTCCTCAAATCGTCTACATTCTCTTTTTCACCCGCATCGGAGCGCAGCCGGGCGCAGCGGGTCCGCGGCGGACGCCTGGCTCCAGGCGGGCGAATACCAGTGGTATTGGCTACTTCCGGTGCCCAACTACCTCCACAGCACACAGCAGGCCTTTTGAGGGGGAGAGGCCTCTGGGGGTGAGTTCGGGGGGGCTGGCCCAGGCGATGAAATGGAGATGGACACCCCAAAGGGGCGGCCCTGAGACACTGGCTTATATGGTTCAGAGTACGACGTTGGCCACCCATTTTTGAGAGGTGAGCAGAGCTTTGTGGTTTCCCTGGTGAGCAGAGCGTCTCTTCGGAGGGAGTCCTTCTGCGAGTGGCCGTGTGGTTGGCCCCAACAGTCACAATGCATTGGGCAGTTGGCTTGTCTCAAGAGACTGGGCGGAGCGACAAGCGTTGCAGTCACCTGCTTGTCCTTTGGCACTCCCACAGAACCTTGTAGACACCACCTCGTTCAAGCCGACGATATACTGCCACGCATGGGCCAAGCTGTCAGGCCGGCAGCCTCCTGTTGGTGTTGCTCCTGATTCTGATGCTTCTCAGCCGGAAAATTTGGAACGTCGTCTCTCCTTGCGGGATGGGTCGATTCAACGACCTTCTAGGTCCACCGGTCGCGGATTTGACCCACAGCCACATGGGTGGAGTACGACCGTTCGCCAATTCCTACAGCTGAGAGACTTCTGATGATTTCTGATGATTTTGGGACGGGACGCGTGGGGGTTCCACTTTAATGGCGTACGGTCCGAATGAGAATTGGACAGTCTGCCGACCGAGTCTTGAACATTGCCGACCGACTTTTTGTGACCGACCGATCGCCCGAGTGGGCCACAAACCGGCCGATCTGAGCCCCAATTGAGCAATAGAATTTAATGAGCATTGGCTAGGTCTGTTGACTGGATTCACCATGCCCAGTCGGCATTTCCACGCGTTTCGTGGTCCAGCAACGAGCGGGAGGGCGCAGCGAAGATGCAGCATGCTCAGGTATGCTCACGTAGCACTTGATGGGCGCTCAACCATGGTACCCCCACTAAAACCTGCTGGTTCCTTGGTACATCCATATCACATGGGAGCTTGTCCCTGGAAAGTAGCCAGCAGTGCTTTATATAAGAGGAGTGGGTGCCTCTTTGTTTGGCAAAGTGTGCGCTGCGCATCCACGAACGTCCCCTCTCATCATGTTTGTGGTAAAGCTCTAATTCGACATAGACAAATTGTTTGAGCAGCTACCACGGCTCAGAAGATCTGGAAAGGCTGGCCAGACAACTAGAGCGTGTAGAGTGTAGAGTCTAGAGAAACATGTTTTGCAGATTTTCCCGCATTTGCGAGGGTGATGCCGAGAGCCAACATGACAGCAGACACCTTCCCAGGAATCTCGGTTCCCCAGCCGACCCGGAACAATTGTGGACGACAGAGGGAGTTGGTCATGGCGACGGCCCGAGGTACATTCAAGAGCCAATCTTGTGGTGCATCTCTTTTGGCACTCCCGACGAGGAAGGAATGATTTTCACCACCACCTGCCACTCGCCGAGAACATGTCTTAGCTCTGACAACCTGACCGCTACCAGGGAAACGTACATGCCTGGAAGACTTCTCATCCTAACTATTCCTATCATTCAAAACGAGGATCTGTGAGGCTTTGGTTCAACTAGTTTGAAGGCTGGTACGCTCAGGAGCCATCAAGCTGCATGAGGCGTACTACGGTACGAAACGGTCATTTTCACCGATCAACGGAGGCATCGTTGGTCGTTTGGGACCTCTAGAGACTATAGCCGGTTCGATCCTCACAGAGACTAGCTGTCTCCAGTGTGCAGAGATGAATGAGATCTAAGAAGCATGTGCTACTTGTTCGAAACACTGGCATACAGGGTACAAGAAGCAGTGGTCGCGATGTACAGAGCACCACAATAGAGATCAGAGTGGACAAAGATGAAACTTACAATTTGACAGCTGAATATGACAGGATTGGTGTGCCAATGTCCATACCTTTTTTTGCTTTAATTGAAAGGTGGAAGGCATTGTATTTGTATGAGTAGTAGCTTGTCTCTAAACATAAAGCGGGTTTGTGTCAACTTCATTCAACTTGTAACGACCAGCCTACCCTTCTGCAGCACCCAGAAACAGAGTTTATTTTTCTCGTCTAGCCTTTGTCCAACCACGAGCTCCTTGCCCCTTTAACATCGCAACGTTTTTCGTGGAGCACCGCAGCCGCAACCAGGTCCTGAAGCTCAAGGGGTGATGACCGCCTACACCGTCTTCTCTTGCACCTGGGCTTGGGAGAGCACACCGCCACCCGCCACCAGGATCCATCTGGAGCCATGACCTGGCATTGCAACTGCCGGCGCTGGATGCAGATGCATCCAGATGCCATCCTGGCCTGAAGAGTTCACCATTATATACATAGAGATACCATGAGATACCATGTTAACTACGTTGTTCTTCCAGGACGGTTTGCCCCGGTGTGATTTCAGAAGGATGTTTGATGTTGAAGGTGTCTCAAAGAGATGGTCTCAAGAAAAAACGTTGTTCAACGAGGTGTGAGTTGTGGGTGAATATTGGAATTATTGGACTGCCTCATGTCAGAAACGGTCGCACCCTTCTTGGCCATTCCGACCTGCCCGTGCCATCACTTCCGGTGCACTTGGGCTCAAGCGATGAAGTTTTTGAACATGGCTGAGCTGCCCATGACCAGCTAAGCTGCGATGGGCCAGTCAGCTGGATGTTGCCAAACAGGTGGGGTGCGACCGCATCGGTCCGGATCGGTCCGGATCGGTCGGACCGTCATCTTAAGTGAGGGATGTGGACGGCGGTATCTTTTTTCCTCTGGTTTCTTCCTGAACGAGTCACACACACACACCAAAGAAAACATCCTCCAGCGCATTCCAGCGCCAAAAACAGTTTTTTTTCTCAACGGTGAAGCTTTAGGGGTCTTCAGCTATAGTATAGACTTCGGAGCAGATCGGAGCAAGCGCCGGAGCTGGTTCCGGAGCAGGGTCTGGCGGAGGTTCCGGAGCTCTGGAGGAGGTTCCGGAGCACAGAGTGTTGAGCGCACATAGGGTCGAAACATCATGACGCATGGTATTCCACTCAAATCATGGTGGCGCTTTTGTAACATTATTTTTTGTATTTGTTTAAAGCTGGTTTTTGCGAAGACCAGATGATGTTCTGCAAGTCGTTCCGCAGCAGTGCGGCCATGAGTTCGGTGGTGCTGGGGTTTAGATTTTTTTGGATGTGAGCCCGAGTTGAATAGGTAGGCTGTTCATCAGAATGAAGCTTGATGGGTTGTGACATGTTGTGACAAGAACACACAATGTTTCTAGCTGTTCGGGGCTTTCCTTGGGTTCTTTTAAGTCCAATGATGGGGATTTTTTTGAAACGTTGTTCAAACGTCAGAGGAAAAAGAAGATACACAAATAATTGCATTTGGGCTTCCCTTCACGCTCCAGGCAAACCAGCGGCCGAGACGGCCGAGACCATCCGTGCTGCTCCGGAGCGCGGAAACGTGGCGGAGGAGGCGCCCGAGGCACCAGACTGTGACGGAAACGTGGCGGAGCTGGAACTGGAGCCGGTGGGGATCCTACAGAGAAGCAGAACCCTAGAGGCCTGGGATTTGGAGCTGGCTGCGCTGGTGTGCTTTTGAGACACATAATGATGGTACGGTGATGGCATGTTATACATATCAAAGGACTTGGTTGAAGGATGATGTTGAGGGGTTGTTTTTTGGAGGTGGTAGAAATTGGTTATACCGTGTTATACCAAGTTGTTCGCATGGATCATCATAGATTATGCGCGTGTATATGGCGTGGTCAATGAGATGCGCAGGAATGTTGTGCCAAAATCAGACCAGAGGAATGTCAGGCCACTATAATTTTTCACCTCTCTTTGAACTCACTGCACATCAAAAAACGAATAGATCGTCACGCCGCCCATTTGTTTTCTTTCCCACTGATTGAGTGATTCAGCTGGGTGGCAGAAAATACACCTAAAAGACAACAGCCGAACTTTCTGGCAGTTTGGTTCTTCAATGCGCTTTCGAGTTCCAAAGAGGGTTTGTTCGCGGGCGAACGGCAAGACACGGGGCAAAAACTGTGACCACTTTGAAGAACTGGTAGTTTGAGACATGCATGATTTCTCTAAAAACACCCATCTCATTTCTCACCGCCCGATCTCACATCAAATAGCTTGCCAGTGGAGAAAGGAACAATGCATTCCAGAGATCCATGGCTCTTGGTCGCACCTTCTCGAAGGGGTCCCCTCCCAACGGTCCCTCCCACAACGAGTCCCTGACCAGCGGCAACCGGACTCGCAGTTGCGCTACGGCTCCATATTCCGCGCGTGCGGGCGCGGAGCGAGGTGGACCGGGAGATCATGCGCGGCATTACAATGCGTAAGACCTTGCGTCACGCCTGGGTGTGGTGGCAATCGCCGCTGGACCTGGAGCCAAGCCAAAGGGACGCTTAGACGAGTGGTTTAACAACATGCCGATGATGCGGTGATTTTGGTGCTTGCTTGGGATCATGGTGCATACGGATGGGACTGGGGGTCAGCTCACTTGACATGATCATTAAAGAAACATTGGAGACGGACTATATAGAGTCTTTTGGAGTTATATAAGGCCCAGTGGGGTGCCCTAGGAGTCTTTTGGTTGGATGTTGCGGGTGGGAATTCTGGTGAAGTTTTCTTGTCTAATTACATCTATAATTACTAGACCTTAATGGTGTCAGCTTATGAATCCATGCAGTCAGGAAGGTTTGTGGAAGAAATCAACGCCCGTTTCTGGCTTCGACATTTTCTTGTCTCATACTTGGTTGACCTTGGGGCTTTCCAAGTTTCTGGCAATTCTGCTCCAAACTGCTTGGAAGTGGGCGATGATGGCTTGGTTCCTGACCATGACCCTCCTCATCCTTCTCTACGTCGAGAGCCTCATCCCCATGTCTAGTCGCTATGTGCTGCCCAGCGAGATCCAGCCAGATGTCACGCTGCCCCGAGGGCTTTGGATGACTGTCGCCAGCTTGCCCTCGTTGTTGCTTGGGCTGGTTTTGGCGGTGTACATCCCGGAGTGGGTCTCATCCTCACCCACCTGCTTTCTAGATGCAGTCAGTATAAACCAAGCTGACCAAGCTCTGATGCAGCAGGGTGTCTATGGGCTTGGCGGTTTCTTGAAGGCCTCCAAGGAGTTGCGGATCTTGTGGTCAAGTCCGTATTTTTCGAGACTTTGGTGCGTTTTTGTCACCGGGCAAAGAGGAAATAGTATATTTATTTTTTGTTGCTGCTATGGTGACCCTGCGCGGACGGTAGAGGAATCCCCATACTTGGACTTGACTCACACCGTAAATCGCAGATAGTTGCAGTATGACATGGGTTGTGCAGGTTCACCATCCTCGATGGTCCTTTTGCCGACGCAACGGTCGCGCATGGAAGGAACCGTCGCTCGCTCGGCGGTAAGGAATTGGCGGCCTACCGCACCGCCAACCCCGGCGGGAAAGTCACGCCGCTGGGATGCAGAGAGGTGTCGTTGAGGGGCCGGAAGAGTGGCAAGGGTGCCAAATCCAGGGTTCACAGTCCACAGATTAAATACCCCTAAATTTAGAAAAGTATATAGTCCCCTTCAAAACGTATTGGACACCGTTTCTATCATTTGGGGGCCAGATTTATTTTATATTTTGTATTATGTTGAGTATGGATGGTCGGGCCATGGGCATGGGGCGTGGGCAGGTTTCCACTTCCAGGCCCAGGTCATGCCACGTGCCTTTTGTATCCCTTTACTTACAAAATCTATTTTCCCTAGCATGTCTAGGGGCCTCAGTTTGTTAGGGGCACACAAGCTCGCACCTTTGAAGTGTGGAGGCGACGAGTATAGTGACATGTGGACATGTGGTGACATGTGGTGCTTTGTGGGCGGACCAGAAGGGCTTAAAACCTGAGAGATGCACCGCCGCAGGCTTGCTCCGCTCTTCGTCGAGATGGCTGTGGCCGTGTACCTGATTGGTTATTATCTCACTTGCCTTGTTTTTGTCATCGATCTTGAAGCCTACTTGGCAGTGTCACTGCTCTCGCAGCTGGCCTTGAGCTTTCTTCTGGTGTGCTTTTTGCGGCGGAGCTTAGTGGCAAAGCGAATCTGGGCAGCGGTTTGGAATATATATATAATTATCATCATATGCACGGTATTGTACAGTCGTAGTTATAATAGTTGCCAATATTGACTGTGAATTGTATGTAACGGTACGTAAAAACATACACAATCATGCACATACTTTTGATGTAATTTGTGAGATGCCTTTTTCATCACCAACCAGGAAAGTTGTTCAGAGACCTCGACACATTTGACGTCGATTTGGCGCAGTGTCGCCTGCAATATGACCGAGACTTTGTTTTCAATGCCATCACCGAGTGGTTCGGGAGCAAGGAGGCTTTCACTGAATATGTGCGAGCTCATCTAGGCGAAGCTGCAATGTCGGCATTCTCTGCTTCCACCATCCCAATCCAATATCACATTTTGCTTGTAACATCAGAGGTGAGCTTGAACTTGGATAACTTCATGGCGCTTTGGAAGGGGGGCATGCCTTCAGAAGTGCTATGTTCGCATTTTCTAGCTTTGGTCCTTGGGTATGCAGTGTGCTGGCGCATCGTGTATTTGAGCCTGGCGGTGTACCTGTGCGACCTCGTGTCCCACCACTGTGGCCGCAGCTCTGTCTGATTTCATAGGTTTGTGGGTCTTGGAAAGCTCAGCTGGTCACAACTGGTCACACTGCATGAGCAGGAAATGCCTCTTTTCGGGGTCGAAAGCTTCCCTTCCCCTTTTGAACATGTTGGGAGGTATCAACCATTTCAGATCCCCCTTCATATGCAATTGTTGTCACCTGTCTATGCTTATTTTCACAGCGAATGTTCTCATGCTCTACTGTGTAACCCTTGCTGGGTTCTGTTTTTGCTGAACCTGGCAGCCTAGGGAAGTGTGCCATGATCATGTTCGACTTCCTCATTTTCCTCACCGTGAACCTTTGTTTGGTCGGTGGCCTTTTTCTGGCCCGAGCCGCCTATGGTCAAGGGACCTTGGCCGCCTCTGCGTGGTTGGCTTTTGCGGGCCTCCTCGCTCTCATTTCCCAGCTGCCTCGACGGAGGTCGCCCCGGAGTTGACGAAAAAGCAAAGGGCTGTGGAGGTGGAGGTCCAGATGTAGTATACTGCTTGGAACAAACATCGAAGTGCAAAACCCCACGTTTGCAGAGGAAAATTGTCTTCCAAGGGACCATTTTCCACTGTCAGTTCCAGGGAGAGTAGTAGGACGATGTTTCTCGATCGAAATGCACCGAACGGTGATCTCTGCAGTGCGCTCCTTCTCCTGGACAACGATCGCATCCGCACTGTTGACAGTCATCATCGAAACCAAACAGGACACCCCTCCATCTCAGTGAATGACTCAAGGAGAAGGCTCAAGAGATGTCACCGTGCCGGTGGTGCCTGCTTCGGTTCGCGGGCGCTGAGCGACGTGCTTAGCTAGCGGGTATAGACGATGGCTTGGCTTGCAGGCAAACAAGCACCGCCACTAAGCGGATTCGGATGATTCGGTGGGTTCAACAACAACTGCCAAGGAACAACCACCGAAGCTGTGCTCACATGGAGTCCCCTGCTCCCACACCAGAGCTGCGAATCATGCATTTAAGGCATGGCCATGCTCATTTATTGGGCGCTTTTAATGGACTTCACCTTGTTGTCCATGCGGATCTCCGCCTTTGTTTTGGCCGGGGGCCTCAGTATAGGGCCTAGGGGGATTGCTGGTGTCTCACGTCACTCAGTTATATAAAGGTCGGTCTTGAAGATGAGGGCTTTCGGATGGAAAGTGCAAGTCATCGTCCTCATCATCACGTACTACAGTCACCATGGGCGCGACCTAAGGACCTGCAGCCTACTCAGTCAGTGGATAACCTTTATATAAACCTTTTTCGGGGGGGATTGGTTTGCCCACTGAAGATGAACAGATGGAGAGTTCGGTTAACCAATGTGGACCCTAATGTTCCAGCCGGATGTCCGAATGGCAGGTTGGAGTCTACCTTCATCTCTAGGTAACTGGATGGTACCTGAAGGGCGTGTCGATCAGCGTTGGTTGAAGACTTCTCCAAGTGTTTCAATGGGAGGTATGCCAAGCTAGCACAAGGCGGATTTGATGGGAACCAGCCATGCAACTTGCAAGATCTTACAACTCACCACCAGCACCAGCAGCGGTATCATCAGTAATTTCCCACTGCTAGATGGGTGTTGAATAGAGCCGCATCGTATCAAATCGTCATCCATTTGAAGGTCTCGGAGCCGTCAAAAGCTGCGCTTTTGTCATGGGACCAACTAGTCCTCAGAATTCCTGTTGGCTTTGCTGGGAAACGGACAATCCTGGTGGGCGCCGCTCCGTACATGTGGGGGCTGAGCGTCCCTTGTTCTTGCGCGCGTGCGCGTGTGACGCGAGGTCTGTGGCAACGTACTGGCAGATGTGGGGCTTTTCTGCCTCGCTCTCGTCTTCTTGATCCTGATGTTTGCCACGGCCATCAGCGCCTTGGAACCGCCGGTGGGGCCCCGGTCGACGAACTACCATCAGAGGAGAGCCATGTGGTAGAGTCTAGAGGGATGTGTTTGATGTTTGGTTTTTCAAGCGAGAGTTTGTGTCACAAGCCGGCGCAGGCAGATGCACTAAGAAAAGCCTGGCTATGCGGCTATACGAGAAATGCCACTGGTGATCTAACCTGGGTTCATCTTCATCCTGGATCCAGAGCCACACGCTGTTCCGTGTGGTGGTTTCAGATACTGTAGGTTCATGTTCAGCCTGTACTTGGGTTCATCCCCCATTGACTAATATCTTTTGTTCGTGAATTGAACACACCAACCAGTGTTCAGGCCATGTTCCATCAACGTGCTAAGGCCGTCCCAAGGCATTTTACAGACGTCCTAACCGCATGCGGTTGTTATATCATGAATAATATCAGACACTGCAGCCTTCTCCCGAACTCACAGGGGGATATTATATTCTATATATTTTTTTTTATATCATATTGTACCGTATCCCTGTTATATCATGAAGAGCCCGAAGTTGTCCCTTTTGCGGTGCGATGTAGAGTTTGGGTCTGAGTCTGCGTGGATGTAGTTACCCAGACATCCCGTGCCGCCGACCGGGCCCAACATTCATCGGGGCAAGAGAGGCGCAGCGTTGTGACTCACTCGTTGCGAGAGAAGGCAATTCGTTGCTGGAACTAACTAGGGAGACCTCCCCAAAAGCGGAAGAAGGGAAATAAGCCAAAAGCCATTAGTTGGGGGGGGCCCTATTGAAATACACCCGCATTTGGGTCCTCCCTCCACAGGGTGGTTGCCGCTTCGGGATCACCTGTGAAGTCCGGACTCAGCACGTCTTGGGACCCGGTGTGACACTCTCTGAACTAATCAATCATGGAAGTGGATGGGTCAGGCCATGACCGTTTCTTTATTTGTGTTCGAAGACCCAACCGTTTTTTTGAATAGTTTTTTTTTCACAGTTCCATGACTCTTCCGGGGAGTGTAGTTGGTCAATTTACCAGGGGGGGTTCCTACTGGGAGGCCCTTGGCCCTTAAGACAACCCAAGGGACCTCCTTTTGGGAAGGAGGTCCCAACAGAGTTGGAGGTCTCTCTAGTCCAATGCATGCATCATGCCACTTTCATGAACCTTCACCGCCGTTGAGCCTTTTGCTTTCCAAGAGGTCTTGGATCTTGTTCAATCTCTCAATGCCCAACGCTTTTTGCGAACATCAGGCCCCAAAGAACCGAAAGAACGCCCCTCCAAGACGTTGGGTTTGACATTCAAGTGTTATATAACTATTTCCACAAATGGGGTTGCCAAAACTATCCCCAACGCTCCACGCAGGTGTGGAAATATGACCACCTATTAAAACCACCGAAATCTTGGTAAATATTTAAATATTGCATACATGGAGTGGATGTATGTGCATGTTTGAATCCTTTGGATCTTTTTGTGGCAAACCCGTGGCACAAAGTACCTCGCACAGGCACAGAAACTGTTTCCATTGGTGCTAGCCTAGTAGTTGGTTTGTCTCTTTGACTCAACTGTAGCTACTATATACAATAATTTAAGGCAGAGGCAAAAGAGTTAGCTACAGGTCTTGGTCATCTACTGGTGCCCTTGGCCGTAGTGGCCCTGACCCTCAGTTCTGAAAACTGACAGAGGTTTGCAAGGAAAATCACCCACCCTTCTTCCACCACACGTTTCATGTTCCAACCTCCGGGCTGCCCTTCTTCCGCCTCATTGTCCCGGCACGCCTCGGCCCACTGGTACTAACCTCCCGCCCCGGCCCGCGGGAACGGCGACCGAGGCTCTTTGAATCATCACGTGGTCGGCTTTGATGGTGTTGGCCCATGGCTCGTGGGCTTGTTGCGTCTTGGCGAACGCGGACGGGAACGGGCGCACGCGTGGGGAGGGCTTCGGACGACTGTTGACGAGCGGAGGGGTGGTGTGGAGGATTTACGGTGTAAAACGTGGGTGGAAAACAGATTTATGGTTGTTTTCTATACCTGCCTATTTGTTCAACCTTACTTTGGGATGATTTTACCCACTGACCCATCTATATACTCCATTGTGAGTCCAAAACCACCAACCAGGTAGTATCATTCGATATCATTCGGGTGGGGGCGGCCAGAAACCGGGGTTCCGCTTCGCTTGCCATGTCAAAAAGCCGCAGAATTCGCATGTTGAGAGTGAAGATGACCGGTGTGTGAATGCATCGGAGGCTTGGCTTTCCTCCGCCGTTGTCTCATTCCATGGACTGAAAGCTAAAGGTCCCCAGGTTTGGATGGTCAGGACTAATCACAAATCACTCATAGATGATGTCAGCCCTTTGCATAGAGGATTTCAATGGATTTCGGGAGGATGCTTGGGTTGGCTGGCGTTTGGGGATCAGAACAGCTACCTGAGAAGATGGGACTTGACCTTGCCACACACTGGGAGTTGGTTCTTTCATGATCCGAGCCAGAGGTCCAGGATGTGCCAGGGTCAGACTGGTCTTATTCTGCGTTCGTAGGTCCAGGTTGGTCCAGCTATAGTTGTTTTTTCACATTTGTACAGCCCAAGATCTGAAACTTCCCAAGAACAAAGCCCAGAGGTCCGCAGAACATGATCAGATCCAACTTGAATGTTCACCTGGTGGTGACTGGCACCCTCAGCGACTCCAAGTAGATCCTCTAACAAAAATCCTCCAGCACCCCTGAAAAGAACACGGTGATGTCCCTGTGACTTGCCATTTGATTTGCAGATTCGGGTGCTCCTTTTATTTTGGACAGTGGACTTCATTTCAAGTGGCCACACGAGCGGTTCGCGCGACACCCCTGCAGGCTATAGTGGCCACGTGGCCCAGTCAAAGGAGTCGACATGACTGCCACAGTGTGGACGAGGTTTTACCATCCAAGTGTTTAAAGCACACACACAGATAATTCACACACACAGATATATATATATATATATATATATCCAAAGGAGTCTACATTACTTGAGAGCATCCGTAGCTGGTCTATTTTTCATTATTTTTTGCCAGATTTTTCGGAGCCCGAGCGCTGAGGCAGATCACATTGGGCATGTTCCCACCCACCAAGTACGAAGAGTTCAGGAGAAGACGGGAGCTGCCTGGAAATACTCTTTAGGCGCCCCCCTACGTATTGTACGTGTTGATACTGTAGCTAAAACCATGCTTGATCACCGGTGACCTGGGCATTGGACTGCAACGCACGGTGGCCAGAATCATTGGCTCGACAATGAATTGAGAGCCATACATTCCCTGGAACTAACATGGAAGTGATTGGAAGTGGACAAGGGCCCCTTGGAAGACCATTTTCCTCTCTGATGCTTTGTGTTTGGGGTCTCAGACATGCTCCACTGGTCCAACATGTCCAACGGCGGAGGGGGACAGAGCTAGAATCCATGCGAACCTCCGGGGGTTCGCCGCAGGAGGTGCGAGGGCCGCGAGGGAGGGTCTTTACAGCCAAACGCTCTTGTTTGAGGAAGACGGCCACTTGGGCCGCCCTGGGTCAGCACTGTGCAGAGCAGCCTGCCTGAGCGGTTTTCCAGGCTGCAAGCAAATCCTCAATGTAGAATGATGTAGATTCCGCTCTTTGAGGAAGCTTTGGGCCCTCCGACCTCACCGCTTTGACGCATCGCTGGGATATGCCACCAGCACGCGTGCATGGCATAGTTGGGGAGGTCATGGGATCACCGCGCCCACCGAGAAACTCGGCTTCACCTGTCCGCCCCCTGACGACCACGGCAGGAGCGATACTCCCGTGCTGATCGCCGTCTCGGTCTTCGTGGCCGCCGCTCGGCGGCGTGGTGTTCACCCACGTGCGACGGAGCGGCACGGGACGTTCCTCTAGTGGATGGAAGGTTTTTGGTCACGCACTGCCTGATGTTCAACAGGTTGGTGTGACAAAACAAGGGGGTTGGAGTTGAAGATGGAGTTTTGTGAGAGTTCTAACATCTGAGTCAGAGGACGGCGGGTGGAGAACCTCCATGGTCGGCCGGTCTCCACCGATATTCACCTGAGACACCACAGACCAGAGGACCAGAAAACGTGTTCCGAACGGTGGAACAGAACAGGACCATGAAGCGGGACCATGAAGCCGTATAGTATATTTTAATTTGGAGGTTCTTTGGGAGGTGAAGGGGTGTGTGCAAAATCAAGATGATATATTTACGTGTGTGCTCTCAGGCGCTGTTTTGGTTCAAGGAGCCGACACCCCACGCGTGTGAGTGTTCCACTCGTTGCTCAGCCGCCATCCATGGCGCCGGGTGAGGGTCTCGTCTCTTTGGCAGCACCACGGAAGCCAGAAGACGTCCTGGCGGAGGAAGACGTCCTGGCGGACGAGCTGACGGACGATCTTCCCAAGACGCCCAGAAGCTCTTTTAACACCTGGAAGCACACGGACCTGCCGAAGGGAATGCCGAGTCCGCCAAGCTTCCGAGCACATGCTCAACATGTGGAGAATTTGGAGGAGTTCTTGGAGGCAGTGGAAGATGCTCCCAACAGGCTGGTGAGTTGGGTGAAGCGAAGCCGCCAGGAGAGGCTGAAGGACTTGGGATGGACGCGATGAGAGGTGTCATGCCAGCAGTGCTTTCCGCCAAATCCCAGGTCCCAAAATGCGATCCCACCGGGTGGCGACGTGGCACTGGCCCTTCGATGTTTAAATATGGCTAAGATGGCAAGACGGTGAGCGTTGCAGACGGCAGATGACCACTGTCTTGTAGTAGCTTGCGAACGGGCCGTGATTTGCTGTGTTTCAAGTGTAGTTTGATACTCAAGTTTAGGAGTGGTGATCCGGAGATCGTCATCCTTCAAGGATGTTGTCTTCCTTACTAGGCCTTTCGTAGGACGACATTTGCTCTTAGACGCTTTTATCGTAGGATGTGACGGGCCTTTTCATTCTGCAATTGTCAAGAATTCCAAAGGGGTAGTCTTGAGCCTCTAAACGAGTGCATACTGGGCGCCCATCCAGCAGGCACCCCTTTGGAACTGCTTGTGTATTTTACAATATATATATATTTATATTATATATATGTGTGTATATGATGTATATTCTTGGGATCACGTCTCAAATTCTGCTCCGTTCTAATCCAGACACGGTGCAGTCGGCAGTTTTGGGCCTGCCGGTGTGCTACTTTGGCATGCTCTACTGTGTGCGAGACGTTACCAGATGCAAGTTTTGGCTTGCACTTAGTCTTGCGAAAAAGGCACGGGAAAAAGGACTGCACATGACTTGCTATGCTTCCACCCTGTTTTGGGGGACACGTGTCTTGTGGGCCTTCAGTGGCCTGATGGATTCCTGCTGGTGAAAGGATTGAACCATGAACTCGCAACGTGCCACCCACAGTGTTTGTAAGGGATTTTCCGGGGACTGGATTCTGAAGGCAATGTATTTCAATGAACATCATGCAATCGGTCCAAATTGGCTTCTGACTGAAGCTACTAGGAACAAAGCGCATCGCTACTAGGAGCAAGGACGCTATTAGTAGCTCTTGGCATCGCTACTAGTAACAAGAAGCTACTAGGAACAAGGTGTAGATGAGTTCTTGTTTTTCAATTTCCCTGGGTTTTTCTCCTCAAGCACGCTCACAGAGTTGTGGACGTTGGTCAAAACCAAGCACCTTCTAGCGGTGCAAGGGACCAGATATCACCTTCCTTAGCTGTTCCCTTAAAACACTTTTATACCCCGCAAGCCGGCCCTTTGGTTGATGCGTTCTGAACGTTCCCACAAGCTACACCCGGTGTACCCAGGAGACCAAGGCCTGGAACTTGGTATTCTGACTGCGCCATTAAGAGAGCCATCACGCTGCATCCAGGTGCTGAGCATCTTCTTAGTGAACCTATTAGCCACTGGGCCTTGACATCCGGAGCGAAGTTTGTCACACTGAGGGTGAATTTTGGGTGGCTTTGGACCAGCTGTCAACAGATAGCCACAGATATCTACAGATAAAGGTGATAAAAGCCATCGTTTTAGGCTTGTTCCATTACCTTTGTGGTGGTTGATCGTGGCCTTTCAATTGAGCACTACGCTGTGGCAATGCTGCTGTCAACCCAGACTACGTGATTAGACAACTTTTTTGCACTTACTTATCTACTTACATACTTAGTTACTGACTGACTGACTGACTTACTTACTTATATACTATTACTGTTACTGTTACTGTTACTGTTACTACTACTATTACTAGTGCTAGTACTAGTACTATTACCATTACCATTACTTACTTAATTACTTACTTACTTACTATGTATATCTTACTTACTTACTTTTTCTATTCCTTTCGGGGCGGTCTGCCAACTGAAACCGGCATGTGGGTATGCCAACGGCATGTTTTCCACCAAATACTGGCCCAAGCAATGAGACCGGCGGCTCTGGTCCTGGTCATTCGTGAAAGCCAGAATGTTTGTGTAGATTTGTCCTCTTCCTCTTGTACCCTTTGACATGCTCTTGATGGTTTCATCATGTTTCAGCCCCTTTTTGTCCGGATTCATCATGTTTCATCACGTGCTTCCCTTTTCGTCCAGGCGGGCCGATCACCATCGACCCACCCGAGCCGCACGCGCGTAAGCTCGGCTCCAGGTCGCTCAGCTCAACCAGTCCTACCGCGACATCTTCGAGGATATGCAGGGCTTCGCTCGGCTGACTCCTGGCCCCAGCGAAAACAGTTGTGACCGTGGTCCGGTGGCGGAGGTGAAGGCAGAGCTACACGGTTCGTCTTGCGTGGTCATCCGAGTGTGTGGATGGCATGGCCCCCGTTCGCAGACCATTTGTCTCTACAAACAGGGGATGTTTCCACTTCCGCTCCAGGGAGAGTAATTATGTTGAATCAAGTCATGACCTGAAGGACGGTGCTTGGTCCGACCATTTTCATATTCATGCTACAGTCGTTGACTGAAACAAGAGTTAATTGATGTGATCGCTTGTGATCGATTTCGCTGTGATCGCTGAGTATGATGATCCAGGTTGTTGATGAGTTGCCTCCATGAAGTGCTTCAGTGAGCATGGCTCGCTGATATATATATATATATATATGAGAAATGTTCGCTGTGATTCGTTGCGTTCACGTTCGCGTTCAACTGCAACGGATGAGAAACGCTAGAAGCTCAGAAGGCTTCATTCATATCCTCCCGAATCTAAGGTTGATGTGCAGATCCGGGGGAAGGTCCTCTAGCTCAGCTGTATTGGAGAGCCTAACAGGTATACGGTAGTTTTACAATAGGATCACGCATGGTATAGTTAGCTACATTTGGGTGATAAATTTAGTGGGTACTAAAAGATACTAGGATGCAGGTAACATCAAGCAACTATACATTGATTTTTTTGGAATGGTAGGTTCCTCTTTTAACCTTCGATGCTTGGATGTCCTTTTGATCGATCCGCGATGGAATTTTTTGCGCTCAGGAATCGTGCGGGTGTCACCGCCGACATCATCGAGCAGGCGTGAGAAGCAGTGCTTTGTTGGGTCAGACGAGAAAATCCATCCTCATCTGCTCCAGGCACAAATATGTATATACATTCACCAACAGCCACCAAATGTAGACCATGGCTTTTACAATACCGGATCCCTTATGTCAATATGATATTACATGGGTGCCTTTGCGCCTTTGCACCACCCCATTGAATGCATTTCACGGAAGGTAGCCTTGGCAAGAAGGGCTGCCTTGAGTTCGCTTTGCGAAGCAAAGGGTTAACTTGAACAGCCTGTTCGGGACAAAACAGTGAAATATACAAATATATTAAAATAAACCAAATATATTTCTATAGGGCTCCCCTTCCATAGTGATATCTCATTGATTTGCGGGGAGTTCTTTTTTTTGGTGTAGCGTTCGGCAGGCCAGACTCAGAATCTTCCATGCTACTCCGTGACATGCCGCATTATCGATTCCGTACCATTGAGTTCGTCCTCCCCAACCAAAAAGCAGAGCTCCGAACCTCTCGCCGCGAGCTGCGAACCTGTCGCCACCGTGGGCTGGGTTCCCCCGCACTGGGTGGCGCTCGCGGGCTTCGGGTCGGTACGTACCGATGAACCGATCGGTGGAGGGGAAGATGAGAGAGAAGCCTTCCAGACCTGGGGGAGGGGTCATCTGCACCCGAAAGCCCTTGGAGGGTTGGGATGGTTTAGGATGGTTGAGGAGGGGGGTCACTGAATCAGAGAGGCTTCTTCTTTGGAGAGTTTGGTGTGTGCTGACGTGCAGGGGGGCAGAACGGAATCGTTGAGAGATCCTCGTGTTCGGCCAGCCGAAAAGGATTCCAGCACGAAAGCAGTTGCCTTCGAACACGAAGCCTTCCGAACACAGCGGAAAAGACCTCGGAGTTAAGATGAAACATGTTGCCAGCAGTCCCGAAGAGGTGCTATCCATGGAGGTTAGGAGTACCCATCTACTCTCACTGGATGGGACTAAACATCACCCCGACATGAGACTGTTTTTATTTCTTTATCACTGCTTTTTTTGGTCTTCAACAGGGAATGCAGATACCCCGTCAGGGACACTTGGCACTTCAAGCATCCCTTGAAATCGCATCAGAACTTTTTGATTGTGGTCCTGCTTTGGGGCGAGCACTTGTGCAGCATTTGCAAGACATCATAAAGATGGAGAAGTTGCAGTATAGATGTGATGTCTGTCGCTGATAACGAAACAAATCTTGGCCCGACATTCCCGTGACGTCTGCAATGAATGCATGTTACTTTTGATCACTGCCATTGGCAACGGCGTGTTGGCTCAGATGTGGGTATTGGATGGTATTGGTATAGAATGTATAGAGATCCCAGCCCCTTTACAAGCCTTCTTGGGCAGGGTAAAACCCGGAACTCAAATCCAGCTCTCTCAGACTCCCGCACCCCACCCGGACCTCGGATTTTCCCCGACCTGTGGGACCACCTATACCACCACTGTTCTGCCAATTTCGCCGTTCCGGCGATTGGGTCCGGCGATTTCCAGGTGAGCCGCAAGCGCTGGGTGAAATTCACCGGCCACCTGCGCTTCGACGATCCACTGGAGCGGGGGAAGAACCGGGTGGACGTTTTTGAGGCGGAGAAGGTAAAGGAGGTATACCCGGGAAAGTTAACATGGAACCTGAAAATGGACCTTTGGAAGGCTACTTTCCTCCAGAGTGTAGGGCTGGAATGGATTGATGTAATTGACTCTCTTTGGGTGGAGAAATGGGGGAGAGGAGGGGGGATGAAGGGGATCAGAATGGTCAAAATCTGAGGACAGAGGGGACAATTGATGTGCGCGGAGAGTTCTGAAAGGTGGGATTATGAGAATGCAACTTCAGTGATTTTTCCATGATTTTGAGGTTTGCTGATGCTGTCGTTGCCAACTGAACTGCCGGGCTGACTTCTTCGCAACAGATCGTAGGCTTTGAAGCTGCAGCAGCTTCAGTTAATAGGATGCAGCACACGCGACGCTCCCGCTCCCCGGGAAGGCCCATCAGGGGCCGCCCACGGCCTTTGTATACCCCCTGGAAGGCCATCATCTCAGCATGAGAACGTGCCAGTAAAGAAAGCATGACCCGTGTCAGCATACCAGACATGACGTCAGCTCGAAACATGTCGGCCTGCCACCACGCCGGCATCGCGCGGGGCGCACGGCCAGGAGTTCAACGAAGGAGACGTTGGAGTCCCAGAGCCACGAAGGAGACGTGTTCTGCGGGTAGTATCCATGAGCTGTGGCCTGTCCTGTGGCCTGTTAGGCAGTTGTTGATCGGGCCCCCTTTTGGAAGATTCTTGGAATCATTTTCGATGCCGATCGTGTTGGGACTAATTATGACTAATTGCTAATCACTTTGGAAAGAAAACAGCCTGAGAACAGCCGTTTGGTTTATTCAATGGTGGTACAGGGACACCTTCAACGGAAAGATGGGCTCCCAAAGCCACTGACAGGCACTCCATGTATCCCATACCAATAACTGTGCCTTACAACCAATACGCCATCAAAATCTTTCTTCGACCACTTTCCCAAAATCCCATCCAACATCCCAACCTTCCCAGATCCAGACGGTGAACCCGTCTGCCCTCGCTTCAGGTGGGAGTGCCGGGTGGGATCCAAATCCTGGAGCCCGCGAACGCGAACATGGTCACCGAGGAGCCGGAACGAACGTTCGGCTCGTCGCGGGGGGACCGGTTCCTCCACACCCGGTTCCGTCGCGGTTTGAAGCGGTGGAACCCGTGGTGAACCGGGCACCGGGTCAACCGGAGGGTACTCGTTTGAGAACACCAAGACCAGGCGGGCTCGACCTGTCAGCGGTGCACACGACCAAGAAGACGGGCAGCCCTGGTTGGACCTCTTCCCAAGCCGAACTCAAATGGCAAATTTGAGAGACTGGAGTCATTGATGTCATGCGCCTTTTGACAGTCGATCCTCAAGTGAGTTTCGTGATACAAGCACCATGCACTTGTTTATTACAACACATGTTTCATGCTTGGGGTCCGCTGGACTCCATGTACCACATGTCAAACACTCACTAGAGCTACTGCCAATGGATAATTTTTGTTGTATCCCCCTACAGAACCTTGTTCATCCCCTGTCCTGATTACAAGGAGGCGCATGTCTGTGTTTTCCCTCATCTCTCGCAGCGTTCGGTTGCGCAACCGAAAGCGTCACATGGTCAACCCGGATCTCTGGAGAAAAAGCACCAAAGACACCTTCCTATACCTGGACCCTCCGACCTGTCGGGGTGTCCTGGCTGGACTACCCCACACTACTCGTACCTATAGGCTTCCAGACAGGGCACCCCGAAAACGGAGGGTCCTGGTATGTGTCATGATGTGTCTGGTGTGTCTCTGAGCCTACGTTCGAGCATCTCTGTGGCGTCATGTGCATCGCTGTGCTGTGGAGAAGGTGTCGAACCCCCAAAACGCCCCGCGAATGGATCGCTGGGAGCGGCGAGAAGACGGAGTCGTCGTTGAGCTGTCGGAGTCGTGGAGCTGTAGGAGTCACTGGGATCGGATCCAAGTAGTTGGAACCGTGGGATTCGGATATTCATATTGTCCTAAAGCTCCAGCCGTACCTTCTCAGAAGGTGGGACTGGGGTGGGTTCGGTCCAGATATCTTCTGAGGAGGTACTTGGAGTTGTAGGGAATGTCAAATGGATCATCTAATGGGTGTCCAATGGACTACCCTACATGACTTAGAGGTGTCCATTGGACACCCATTCGATGGTCCAGGTAGACTCTTGATTCATAACCCTCCCCATAGCAAAGGGGGTCTTTCAATCCAATTGGGGTGTGTGGGTTTACAAATCAAGGGAGTCTACATTAAGAGTCTTGCATCACCGGAAGTTCTTCACTGAAAAACGCACCAAGCCTGGCTCGCTGGTGCACCGAGAAACACACCTCCCGGCTCGCTGGTGCTCCATGGCCAGGACAGCATCAAGCGCTATGGAGGTCCAACAGCTCCTAGTGCTCCATGGCCTCAGGCCCGCACGGAGACGCGGCGGGGCACGATTGCTTGGGCACCTGCATGGGGTGGCCAGGATCGGGCCAAAAGGCGTGGCTGAACATCGTTGTTCCATGGTTTATTTGTCACATCTCCTTCTCTCAACGTTCGATCTAATTGGGACATCTTTGGGACCACTTGGGACGTGTGAACTCTACTTGAATGTGAGGCACTTCCAAGGCTCTTCCACCATGGTTTTTCACAGTAATTCGTGCTGGGCACTGAACAAAGGCCCACATCACTGGGAGTGTACCATACTCAGTAGATCATGCCCTGAGAAGAGGAGTTGTCTTCCAGACAAGGGACGTCCGTATGTTGCATGAAGTTCCTTCATCGAAGATCGAAGGCCCAGTGGTTGTGGACCAAGTGTGGTGCGGTTTGTGTTTGTGGACCCTCCCGCTTGAACTACGCGTGAGCAAGCTGAAGGACTCCCAGGGCCCAGCTGTGGTGTGTTTTGTCGCCCCAAATGGCTGGTGAGGACCAGGATGAGGCCTTGGAGGACGATCCGTCGAGAGCAGCGCAGCGAGGGGCCGCATCCGAGCTTGATGTCGAGCAGCAGCTGCCGAATTTTGGGAATGATCGGACACCGCAGGGCAACCAACATACCTGCAATTTGGGTGAGTCTTGAATGATCGGAAACTGCGGGAAGGTCATGGCGTGTCTATAACCACCCTCATCATCCCTCATCCATCCTCATCCGTGGTGTTCCGTGTTTGGTAGCAAGGACGCTCTTCGGCGCATGGCCATCGCTATTAGGTTGGAGGCCATCGGATCTATATATATATAGTATAACAATGAAGAAGCTATACTAGTAGGCATCCTCATCCGTCTTCGGTGTTTGGTGGTGCGGTGCTCCGCGGTCCCTTCGCTGAGACCGGGGTCCGGCGAGACCGCTTGTGGGAAGCGATGCGCACCGAGCACCGGGGAGGATGATCGATTCGTACGCTTGGAGAAGCTCATCATGAAGGCCACCCGGAAGCCCAAGGCACGGCGGAGGGGATGGGGAAATTGCTGAGAGCGGACAACTGGCTATGGGCCTAGCGGGACCTAAGGGTGGCAAATTGGAAGACCACTGCAGGAGTTGCACTTGATTGTGTTGATGATTGTTGACGTTCCTTTTTTACATGCGGCCGTGTTGTTTCCCCCTTGTGGCAAGGTGGTGGGGATGGGAAAGAAGGACGACTCCTTTATGATCTTTCATGGTGATTCTGGGGCATGCCAGTGATACCTGGTCATGCCAGATTTTGATATAGACTCTCCCGCGTTCAGGTCAGACTTCATTTCAGCTTCCCATCCGACCGCATGGATAGATTTCAGAAGTATGGACGATGGTGTGCCACAATATTCCACATCAAAGGACCTTGTGTGTGTGTGTGTGTGTGTGTCAAGTTTCAATGAGTTTCCAGCACTAGCATGCGCGCATGTAGCGTCAAGTAAGCCAACTACCTTTGTATACGCATAATATGTATGTTTGAGTTCACACATCAAAAATAGATACTAATAATGTAGTAGTTACGTGCAACCGCATATTTGCATTATATGTATATAAACTAGTTACAAACGTTTTTTCAAAAAAGCATTCTCAGCACCAGTACGTAGGCCTTTCTTTGAGTGTGATACATGGAACCGCCAACGTCTCCTTCGCGGCTTTTCCGGCCTGTCTGGTTCCCAACAGGGCGGGCCGCCCCCCGTCCAACCGTCTCGCAGCCGGACTCCAGCGCACCGCGCAGCCGAGCTCCGCCGCCAGTCCGGGGGCAAGAGCCACAAGACTCCCTCAGCGATGGATGCTTCAGACCTGGGCGAGTCCGAGGAAGGCGACGCTGCGGATCGTCAGGGGACGGCCGTCGTCGCGGAGGAGGACGGAGGACCGTTGGGTCGACAGATGTTCAAGACAGTGTGGCGATTCGGACCGAACTGGTGTCATTCGGAACATGTAGGAACCTCTTTTTAATGTACCCCAGCCCATCTGTGTTTCCCTGGAGTCGTACGTGTTCACACATTTTTGGCGCACGAAACTCCGAAAAGATGCAGAAACCGATGAGCTATGATGAGCTGCGAGCTCCTCCCGACCTCGGAAGTTCAGAGACAAAGTGTTCGAAGTAAAGGGAGTTCCCATTCATGTCGGCTCTTGATTCATAACCCTCCCTTTTGGATGGTAGAAGCTGATCATACCTCAGCATTTGTATGGGGGGGGTTGTGGCATTTTAGTGTCAGTGTGTCTAGTCATGGGCATCCCATGCTCCTTCTGCTCTAGGATTGATGCCTACCTTCATCATCCTTGAGCCCTCACGCCAAGGTATGTTCTAATGATTCTAATGACATGGCAGTCCCATAGGTGTCAGAGATGATAAATCCCACACCATCCCTGCATGGAATAGTCACATAATATTACATACATTGACCCCACCAAAATGACCCATTATGAGCCCTAAGTACACAATAGTAACTCTTCCAGTCCCATTTTCATGGTTTCGGGAATGCCTCATGGGCAGTGCCATTGCACGCGCCAGGTTCCTTGCGACGGGGGACCTCTCAGTGAGCGGGATAAAATCTCCCTTTCAGGGCTCCGAGCTGGCCGAGCGGATATGTGCTGAGCCGGATAAACCTGGTGGTGTCTTTTTTGGGGTGTCACGAGAGGTATGTGAAGATGTATGAGATGATACTTGGTTTGTATTCGTTGTTCGATGTTTTTCGGGCCTTCTCATCTCACTTGAAATAGGTGATTGCATGTGATTCGAGCTACGGGCATGTCAGCTCGGCCCATCTCGGCCCTCGGCGCTCTTGTGAGAGGGTGCCTCAATTGGCTTTGACGGCCTTGGTTTGCACGTGCTTTGCAGCCTGCTATAGCTGGCGCCTCTTCGTCAGGTGACACGTAGCAGCGGCCTTCAGATGGGGAGGCGACACTTCATCGAAAGGATGGGATGGCTCCCTGAGAAATCTTGGAATCAGAGAGCTTTTGTGCCTGAGTGATATGAGAATCATCATCTCGAACATGCGACAAAGCCGTACAATTACAATACCGGGTTTTGCTCGTTCCGCCTTGCTTTCCGTGCGCCACGAAGGCACGAGAGCCACTTTTAAGCACAGGACAGTCGTGTTCGTTGGCCTTTTTTGGGCTCTGAAGGAGCCGACACCAGAGATGCCAACGGTCCAAGAGTTGATTGCCACCCATTTGCTGTGCGAAAGGCTTTGTGAAAGAGCAGATGGCGGTCACCATTTGGGGATTGCAAACATGAGCAGTTGGAGAAGAAGAACACCATTTGGATCAACGCATTTGACCATCCGCCCCACAAAAGTGGCCATGTGGGGGCAGGAGTTGGCAAACTAGCTCGCATCATGCGCCTAAGCGGGGCGCCGTACATTCACGGGGGGTGTCCTCTTCACAGATAGATCGGATCTGGGATTGCTCAGAATTGCAAGCTCAATGCATGCTTCATGGTCCCCTGAACTGATGAACTATGAACTCCAATCGCTCCAATGAACTCCATATTTATGTTTTTGGCGGCAGGGCGTGAAGCAGAATCTTCACCCCGGCAACCACTCCTAAGGTGTTCATGATCTGGTCAATTCAGCCTGAATTGCTGAAGGACCCATTCCCAAGGCCATTGGCATTTGAGTGTTCAAAACCCTTTCCATTTGACTCTTGGTGATGTGCAAGTTTCACTCGAAAGCTTTGCCAGTGAGAGTGTGGCACAGAAAAGGAGTGCACAGCCTGCAGGCCAATTGGGTTCGATTTGGCCCCTGCTGGCCAATGTTGATGAGTCCTCAATCATAGAGATCGACTAAAGCTAAGAAACGTGATGCACCATAGCGTTGAAACACAAACCAACAGCCAAATCATCACTGTAGGTCTGTAGGTCATTGGGAGCCACAAGAGAGGAACCTGAAAAAATAAGTTCCCCTAAAAATCTAGGAACCAAATCATTAGTGCGAGCGCTTCTTCAAGGAGGGGGAGTTTCCTTGAAGAAGCGCGAGCTATCCTGCGTCCAGTTGGTAGTAGCTGCAAGTAAGGCTTACTTGCAACCTCATTTCCTTAATTAAGTAGGTGCCTACTTAATTAGGGAGGGGGATGGAGTTTCCTGGAGAGAATCCCTAGCGGACGTCTCTTTCGGTTTCTGGCCTGACCGCACCCAGTCTGACAGTGAACAGCCTCGGTCACCGGGCTTGGCAACCTGGTGTCGACCATGTTCCGAAGACCGTTTCTGTGGTTTCCGTGGGTTTTCAGGTTCCAGGTGCGTCTCTTCCCAGGGCGTACTGATCAAAAGGTACTTGGGACATCTGAGGACTTCATCCAACTCAGGGCAGGGGTTTCGTACCACCCGCGTGGCGTTTGCGGGTGGTCCGGATGTGAGACGCTTGCGTCAGTCGCCCGCGGTGGCAGGTGACTTCTACACCTATGAGGGCAGTTCCACCTCTCCAGATTGCCATGAGCTGAACAAGTGGTCCGGAGTGCTCAGTGTTCCGCGCCGACTAATCGTCAGATGCTCCAGAGACTGATTAGTACAGAAAACTGAGAAACCACCGGTCTCAGACCGTGTGTGGTTACAAAAATATACATGTCCCGCGCTGTGTGTATATGTAATATGTCTTAATAGTATAAGTATGTGTATGTTTAAACGTTATATGTGGTTTATCACCAAGGTCAACAATGAGGTAAATCTAAGTATATAACTCTTCGATCACTTTATGGGATGCTTTGGGATGGTCAACTGAGTCGCGACTCCCGGTGGTAGGCGGTGGGGTTACCGATGGTGGTTGGAGCTGGTCTGTTCATCTTGGGACGGGAGAAACTGGACTCTGCAGCATCTAGTCGGAGTTTCACCTGGCCCTGGCCCGGACATTCTTGAAGGATTCATTCCGGACAAGTGCTTGTGTATGAAGTTGACGATCCGATCCCAGTCTCGCAACTTCGCTTCCACCCTTGGCTCAGGTTTATCTTTGAACATGCCGCTGCCTCAGCCCACACAAGAGATGGGGCTGGGTGATGGGTGGCTACTCATCCTGCAAGTGCACAACTATGCGCACATGACATGACAAAATCAAAAGGCCTTATTGGAACACATGTACCCCTTGCATCCCCTTGCATTATTTCCACTGCATAAGAACTGGTGCTGGCAGTCCAAGCGAGGACAAAAAAAGAGAGCGGGTGTTGGTAGTGATGTAAAATTTGACATGAGATGCTGAAAAAACACTCTGGTTTAATTACAGTGTTTTGTGCATGTAACAGTCTCAAGCACACAGTCAATCACACACTTTTGTTGGAAATCAATTGGCATGGAAAGGACATTAAACATAATGAGTTTACACACAGAGTTCGACAGAAATAATGACAAACGACAAGCACAAAACATTATTGCGGGGAATATTAATAACAAAACATACCCGAGCAAATCAAGTGCAGACAACTTTTGAAGGGGGTCATGTTCTTTAGACATAGACAAGGTGGCAAACAGTAATCCAAGGGGTGGCCCTTTAGCCCAAAAGGGCCAACACGCTTGGTCGGGGGTTTAACATGTTCAAGGTAGACGTGTGCTGGGCTACTCCCTCAACCCCGTCACCGTCCGGACACCCGTCACCGTCCGGCCCGGTTTCGCGCTCCTGGCTCGAGCCGTTCCTCGGTCGCTCCGCGCCGTCAGCTCCCCATCCGCGCCATGGGCGCGCCTCGGGCGAGTCAGGAGCACAAGGAGTTGAAGTGAAGGGGAGAAGGCCCAGAGCTCCTTGAAACCACGAAAAGACTGATCCAAAGACTAGGTCGTTTGGATTTATAAGACCTTGAAACCACCCAAATGTGGGCAACCAGGTTGATCATGGTCTTCAGTTATGTTTCCCTGGGGCATGTGGGTGCTCCAGCTGAGGCCTCGGCGGCCTCGGACCTCGGGAGTATAGATCATGTTGACCCCGGTGGACTAAGTGGAGCAGTCACGCGTTCTGGGCAAGTAGTTCCATATTCAGGTGTAATTGGATGTGGACATGGGAATTTCTGCACATTCACTTAGTGGAGCAGCCACCCTGGCCTGGTGGTTTTTTGGCATTCCCCACTCTAATCAGAACGCAAGACCTCCCCCCTGAAAAATGATTCGGGTGAGGTTGGCCCACAGAAGCTGATCCTGCTATTGCTGCCTGCCTTCTCCTGTGGGACACCGCGTACGGCCACACCTCCACGTGCCATTGGGCACCGAGTATGGCAACAGGCGCCGGCGCTCCAGGATGCAGAGAAAAGGCCCAGCACAGAGAACTGCACCTGGCGCAATTTCACTCAGAGCCTCGGAGGATGGTACCCTAGTGCTCCAGTCGTACCGAACCTGAGGAGATGTGGGACTGGGGTGGGTCTAGAGGGTCCAGTCATACCTGGGGAGGCACGACTGGAGCTCTAGGCAAAATGATTTTACAGTGGTTTCAGAGGTTCGATGGCACAGACGCCATGATGTCCTAGATGGATGGGGGTCCATAGAAACCACCGAAAGTGGGGTTTGTGCCATCTACTCTCAATCCACTTACACCCTCCCACGCAACACATCATATGGACGTGAAAGACACTGTTCGTAGAGCCAAATGGCCAAATGGTCTGACTCCGAGGCCTAATTATGCCAAACTGTTAGTGGGTCAGAGTGTACAGCGTTGAACATGGACGGCCCTTTTAGGGGAAGCGGAAGGAGGGCTTAGAAGAACCAAGAACAGGACGGCATCTACAGGAAAGACACTTCCGAGCAATCGCTTGGTGGGGATGTCCGCGTGAGTGAGACTCATTGGAGTGTGTGAGCATTTCTTTTGATCCCAAACGTCCAAAAGGTCCTCTATACAGCTTCCATTAGTAAGGACGCTACTAGGGGCTCCTGGCCTTTCTACTAGGAGCAAGGACGCCACTAGGGACTCCTGGCATGCCTACTAGGAGCAAGGAAGCTATATACTAGGGCCTAGGCGCTCCTGGCCTTACTACTATAGTTTTTTCACGCATTCCCCTGCTGTGGGCAGTTTTTTTTTTGCCAGCGGGCCTTTTAAAACGTCGTTGCTTTGCTGAGGCGCATTGACCACTTCGGTGCGACGGAAGGCACCTTCCCCCAGAGGCTTTGCATCTACGACCACTGGTGGCGAAGAGCTGCCAGTGGCGAAGAGCTGCCCAGACACAAGACCTCTCCAGGCACATACCGCTGCGCAAAGAACCCGCGCGAACGATCCGAATCCCTGGAATATCCTGGAATAGTGGGTAATTTATAGTATTTTATAGTGTTTTTTTGTTTCAAGGGGGGTTGTTTTCGCAAAGAGGTGCTCTTTACGGCTTTTGTCATGGTGTCATGGACGCAGAAGTGTCAGAGCTCCTGTTAGTATTTGTTGGTTGACTTGTGCAACGTTGTGCAACGAGCTGGTTAGACAACTTGTTTCTTGAGACTTAAACGAAGGCGTTCTAAAGAGTCAACACAAATTGCATGTCAGCACTGGGCCTTAGGATGTGAGTTGGATGACAATAAGCCCTAATGACTCATGGACACAAGATAGATAGACAATCAGTTGTTCATTGTGTTTGGGCGAACCTCGGTGCTAAGTATGTGATTGCAGCGTTGCAGCTGCGAATTCCAGCTGAGAACTTCCGCAAGTTGAACTGAAGCGGGCTACCACGTATCGACCGCCCTGATGCAGATACATTGTTGGAGATTAACACTAATAATATCCCCTTGACATCATTAGACCAAGAAGAAGAAGAACCGCAACGCAACAACGAGAATAACAAGAACAAGAACCACCACCACAACAACAACAATAACAACGACACCAACAGCATCACCACCACCAACAACAGCAACAACAACAACAAGAACAACAACAGCAACAACAACAGAATCAGCAACAGCAACAACAATGACAACAGCAGCAACAACCAGAACAACAACAGCAGCAACAGCAATAATGACAACGACGGCAACAGCGGCAACAAAAGCACCAATAACGAGAACAATAACAGCAACAACAACGACAAGGGC